CTGTGCTTTTAAAAATATGGATGATAGTACCAGCCGCTCTTTCAGCCACTTCAAAAGCATCAGTTTGTTTAGAAATAAATTGTGCAGTTAATGTCATAAATTCAAATAAACATCAAACGAAAATTCTCAGTTTTAGACAATTCGATTTAAACGAAGTAAAGTAGCAAACGATAAAACGCCGAAGGTAAAAATTTACTCTTACAAAAATGTACTCTTATTTAAAAAAAAAAAAAAAAAAAAAAAAGATAGAGAGAAATTTTAAAAAATATTAAAAAAATTTATTTAACAAAATAGCTTTTCATATAGTATTAATAAAATATTTATTACGCATCATTGAGGGAAAAAATGTCATATAATTAATTCTCCGTAAAATTTTACTTGAAATTTAAGGTTAAAAATAGCTGTGGCAATACTGTGTAACAAAAATCCATAGACCACATTTGGCGTTATTATCGCTCAAAAAAAAGATGCCAAATTTCAAAACGCGAAAATATGTAAATTTGTGTATATCTTAGAAAATTTTGAATAAAATGTCTAATTTTTTGCAGATATGCTTAAAAATATACCTACTTTAAGATGATGGTAAAAATTTTATAGGTTATAATTCAAAATTTTTTCGAAAAATTTATAAAAATTATTTAAAAATAGAAATTTAAAAAATAAAACAAACAAAAATGGGTAAATTTTAACTTGGAATGAACCTAAATTTCGAAATGTGAGATAAAAAAATCAAAAAAGTTTAATAAAAAAAGAGATACAAATAAATATTTGCCAAATTCAATTAACATTGAGGAGCTAAAACTTTGAGAGCTAATATTTCAAAAACTACTCGTACGATTTTTACAAAACTTGGTATTCTTGCATAATTTGAGTCGTAGAATCGAAATATGTAAAAAATTTGGTATGTTATTTCAGAAAAAGTCCGATTTTGTGTCAAAATACCTATGTTAGAATAGTGCTATATATAAATCTAATATATATCCTAAGTCGCGCTTTCGAGACATGAAGAACGCAATTTGAATTTCGTGAATCGCCCCAGTAGAACGGAAGATATAGCACTGTCCCGTTTTTTTTTTTTTTTTTTTTTTTTTTTTTTTTTTTTTTTTTTTTTTTGAGCAGTGTACATGTTAAATAACATATGGATGTGAAAAAAAAATATTTTATTAAAAACATTTTGGCGTTTTTAACATAAAATAAAAGTAGCGAATACTCTATCAAGGGTATCGAAAGACGTATACAATTTTAAATGTACCGTAAGGTATTTTTCATTCTTTAAAGCATAACATTTTTGTTAAAATTTTATTTTTTTGTAGTTCAACAGCTTAGAATTTTATAAAACAAATTCATAATCAAAATCGCTGTTGTTAGTTATCGAAAAATAACCAAGATGTGATTTTTGCGTAAGTGTCACTAAACTATACAAATTGCTATTATCTATCACATTATGAATGTTTCTTTCATGCGAAAGTGTCCCTTTTTCGATTTGTATGGAACTGTCGTGTGTCGAAATACTATCAGAACACTGTCAAGCGAGCTTCTGAATGTAAACAAAGAACACCCCATCTGGTGACCGAAGCTTCGAAGAAGTGCTTCACTTCTAGTGCCGGTTGGCCACTCCTTCCTTTCTTACCTCCACCGCCGGGCCCTTAGGTACGGCAGCAGCTTCGCTAACCACTATGCCGGTTGGGCGGCAGACTTAAAATATATGTGTTCTAAGCAAGCAACTATTCTAGAGCTGAGTTTCTATATATTTTTCGTCTTAAACAGCTTTGATTAATTTACTAACGGTACAAAAATCATCAGTGCTATACATTATGCAATTTTATGAATGATATTTATAAATATATTATTACTGATAGTAACAAAAACTATTAAAATATACTCTTTCTAAAGAATTCATTTCGTTATTCATTAATGCAGCATACTGCTATAATTTTGGAAATAGAAAATTAAAATTATTTGCTTTTGTATTGTTCAGTTCTTTATTCATAAATAACACGCTATTGTAATTTAGATAATAAATTTTATGTCTTATATGACGAGTTATGACAATAGCTCTCAGAACTGGGAATTTGCTAGACGGTATATATGATATTCTGCGTAGCAACAGCTGCAGGAATTGTCACTTCTTTGGCAAGTGGATGATGAATTCTGTGATAACGTAATGTAAAGTTACTCGAAAAATGAAAGTAACATACTTTAGATGACGCTTCCAATGCGAAAACGAAGAGAGTTTTCAATAAACATATGTATGTTGAAGATTCTAGCCACTAAGGTATAGCTAGATTCAGAGTTAAATAATGTATTTGTATAAGTTTGCTGAGTTAGCATAAGCTGAAATTATTTAATATAATGAATCCTCATATTCTATACCAAACAGGTCAGTTTGTACGAATTCTGGGAACGTAAAAATAAAATCTAGCAAAATGATATAATTAAATAATAAGAAAATAGACTTTTCCAAAATGTCAAAAAAGGAAACAAAAGGAAAAAGAAATCGGTAGACTAAAAGTAAACCAAATTGCCATGTAAGTTTATAAGCTATACGTACTTTTCTCATCCTTGAAAAGTTTACATAATTGAATTTACTGTCTAGTCTTAAAATTCTCATGTCAGTCAACAGTCTTTCTTTAATAAAGCAGCATGTCCTAGCAATTAAATAAATATAAATTACTTTAATTAAATATTCTTTCGCCAAGATACTCTTAGTTATCAGCTCTGATGTATTTAGCGAGAAAGGAAAGGAAGTCATCTTGATAGAGAAAAGATAGACGTAAATGGCTTTTTCTCATGCCAGGCTTTTCGACGATGGAGGACAAGCTCAAAGATTTGTCTCTCTCCGTGTGCTTCGAAGTTTTCGCTCCGATTTCACCACAGCTGTGTAGTTTTACCTCCCGCAGCTCTCCGATTTCGAGGGACCATTCTAAAATTAAAAACTGTAGCATTGTTTTAGCGTCCTTCCCAGTCTCATGAAATTATACTTTACGCAATTATACTTTTTATGATAATAAATAAGAAAATATATTTCTTAAATAACATTAATCTAATAGAGTTCAGATCAATAACAGCGAAGTACAATAAATAATTTGCATGATTTGTTTAATTTCTCAGTTGTAGTACTGATCTAGTATAACGCACTTCGATCTATCGCACCTTCTGATATTTAAGCGGATTCTGCTTAAAACCATAATAAATTAATATCTTGAAATAACATAGTTTACAACAAAATAGGTAAAAACCGAGATTATAAAACAGATAAAAACTGAGAATGCGGATGAAAGGAAATTCTTTAAAACTAAAGATGTGAATACATTAAGGTAATGCTCTGAAGTTCAAATCCTTTATTCGTTTTAAAGCGCTGCAACTACATAGTGGGAAAAGTTAGATATTTTAGAAGTGTAAACAGTAAAAAAATTGTTGCCACTTCACATGAGGGAAATATTTGTTGTAAGCCAGTGAAAAAAAAAAAAAAAAAAAAAAATGTACATTTAGTTTATGAACGACTATAGCTTTTTTTTTTTTTAAATAAATAAAAGTAAAAATCTTTATTTATGATGGGAAAATATCATAACAAATCCCCTTTTCCCTGTCGATCGGCACTGCTAGTTTGAACATTTCTCATTTTAAAAATATAATTTTGTCATCGATATCTTGAATTTCTAGGGATTAATTCTTTAGATCAGAGCACTATTTTGTTTATATCTTCATTTTTTAAATAATTATATAAATCATATACACATACTTGAATTTAATTTACATACGTTTTACATAAAAAAGTACGTACACACGTTTTGCAAACTATCTCTTTCTTAATCTGTTATCTTTTACTTAACATGTTGCCTGAAATGCACAAAAGTAGCTTTTTAATTGTAGAATTAAGTTTACCATTATTTTTTTTTTTTTATGCATAAAAATATTTGATAACTTAAAAACGCTTTTTTTTTTTTTTTTTTTTTTTTTTATATTATTTCTATCCGAGACCTCACGTTATAATAGTGAACTTTAATTCCAAATTTTATGTAGATTAATTACTAAATAATATATACTGAAATGGGAAATGGATTATAAAACATCTTTTCAGATTCAGTACTAAGTTTGTAGTAAATACACGTTGTAAGCACATGTTTAAACACTGTGTTATAAATAGCACACATCATTTTACTACAAATGCAGTTTATTAAAACATAAATATTTACTAACGAAAGTAAAAAGTCCCTCCTCCCAAGAAACGGTTACTTTCTTCTAGCAAAAATTTTTATAATGCTGGTATATGAAATATCGTTTAATTTCACTTTATTAATGAAAGAATAATTTTGCCTCTAAAACAAAATTAAAATTTCAGTGTAAATTTAAATCTGTTTTTAAGTGAAATTATTTAATCAGTTTTCCATAAATCTTTACATTTAACTTAAATTATTAACGTGGTTTTAAAATATTTTATTTTTGTTTGCTCCTTCCATAAATTTTTCGTATATTGTGAAACCGTAATTTGAAAACTGAATTCGCATTTTGTTGCACTTTTCATCAAGATTTCCTATTAAATAAACTTAATGATCTTACAACAGAACAGTCAAACTGTTAGGTTCTAAAACATTTGCCTTCAAAATTCTATGTAAAACGCATTTCCCTACGTCGGAAAGAACAGATAGGTCGTAAAATTCCCATTTAGCAAAATAGCATTCGTCAGTTCTAACACTAGTAGTTATTTACAGGGTGAAAGAGAATCGCTCAAAATGGCGTCGAGCAAACATAACTGAGTTGTAATCACATACCACATACGTTGAGCCAATGCATACGATTATGGCATCTTTTAATTTTCAAAGTTTGGGAATAGAAGACATTTGAAAAACATCAGATTTATTATTTATAGCTATTTATTTCATATAATACTTCTTTTAGAACATAAAAAACTCCTATATTATGAGATTAAAGCTAGGCGTTTTACCGAAGGTAGTACTAAGCCTTACCCCGTTAGCGTGGAAAAAGAAAACAAGGGTTTCCCGTATAACGAATAAGAGTTTGCGAACGTGGCTCTTAGGAGAGACGTTTTATTTCTCTGTATGGTTAACAATTTTAAGAGCATTTAAATGTCTAATATATATTGTACATAGTAGTTTGAAGAATGTAGTTTTTCATGATGTGAAATTCATGCGTAAATAATAAAGTGTTTATATGTTTTCGAAGTCCAGAAAAAGCTATCGGAGGATTTGCTACTGCGCAAGCGCAGTCTGCTTCTTCGTCTTCGCCTGCCTTCCAAAGCCATGGAGGGTAAGCCTAGCATATCAGAAATGGCGACCGAAACGGACTCTGATGTCACAAAATTGAAGGGGACAAAAATTTTAGTATTGGTAGAAGATGCTTTAATCGACGTTCTAGTGGTCTCTTTTCATATAGGAGATAAAATATTTCAAGGAGCACTACTGGATATTACTAAAAAGTACGTAAAACAGCTTTTAATGATAAATAACATTTAGATAAAAACAGATCTGAAGTTTGTTTATGTAGGATGCTGTTGCACTCATTTTCTTTCATACAGTTCAATAAAATATAAAATAGCTGTTACCATTAATTTCTTTATATTTTTACGAACTTATTCATATATAACACTTGATTATTACCGGCTTATTTATAAATTTTGATGTTTTGAAATTGATTCACATGGTTGTGTTTCATCCTGTACAAAATTACTTTGTTTTCTGAAATTTAACTTTTAAATCCTTAAAATATTAGAAGGCATTGTTACTTTCATTCCATAATTTGATTTTTAGAAATGTATATTAATGATTTTGTTTACAAAGGTATAAAATTGCAAAAAATGCAGTTTTAACTCTTGTTATTTACGTTTTTAACACTGTGTATGCAAAAGTTGTCTTCTATCTTGCTTAACTTTTTAAATTATTCGAAACTTTAGAAATACATATATCTTAAGTATAAAATGCAGTAATGAAATGCAATAAACTTTTAATATAATTATTTTATCCTTAATTTCGTTTTTGGGAAACATTCCTATTCCTTTGAATGTAATCCAGATCTGTCACCTCGTGATTTCAATTCCATGAATATTTCTTTAAATTTTACATTAATATCTTTTAATTTTATACTGGTGCATCAAATGCTAAAGCTTAAATCGAAATATGATTAAATAATATGAGAAATAGATCTTCTCTGCTGTATGTTTTGTTTTCAAATGCTTAACACGATCTAATGGTTTCATATTCACAGATATCTTTATACATATTTCACACATTTCATTGAGTTATTGTTTTTATGTTTGTTTGCTAAAATTTTCGAAGTTTTGTTTTGGGTACATTTATTTAAATATGCTACACATGAAACTAAAATATAAAAGGCATCTATGTGTATGTATGTGAAAATTAGATGAAAATGTAAGAGGTCAAAAACTTCTAGTGAGATGAGAAGTATGAAAGATATTTACAGTAAATATACACAGACATATATATGTGTAATATGCATACACACACGTGTGTATGTGTGTATTTGTTTTAAGTATGTATTTACTTTTACTGTGCCATTTATAATTATTTTTAGGAAACAAATATGTGAAAGTTCAAAATTTGTGGTTTGAATAATTTTAAGAGATTGGTGCATAGAATTATAAATTTTGATTGATTATACAAGTGATTGTTGGGCATGAAAAATTACAATAGATTAGTTTAAAAGTATTAATTTGATTTGTTGTAATACATTCCAAACCTGATGAAAATTCGCAACATTGCATAACAGAATTGAAAATACTCTAGTTTTTTTTAAATGTTGTATGCTACATATTTTTAAATATGTATGGTGATATGTGGTATAGTATGTATTTTAATATACAGTATACTACGTACAAAAAACTAGAGTAAAAAAAAAATGCGTACTATACCATAAATTTTTTAATGTTGCTGTAGGCAGCATGTAAAATCTGGTGTAAAAAACTTTAGTTATATCCTATCACTAAGAGACTAAACTTATCCTATCACTAAGAGATATATCATTTTAGTTTGTGTCATGAAGAAATTTGTATTTTTCAAGATTCTCCTTAGAAAAGAAATGTGTTCATTGAATATTTTTGTAAAATACCGTAAAAAAATGTATTCTAATTAATAGTAAACAAATGAAGAAATTCAAATAAAAAATTAGCATAAACAGAAGATAGGTTATTTCTGTTAATTTTTATGTTGAATTTCTTTATTTGGGTGCTATTAAACCACATAAAATAATTTTCTCATATGAATCTGTTAATTGTTCATATAATGCTGCTAGTTAAAATTAAATATGTGTTTTCGTATTCATAAAATATCGCGTTTTTGATTATTTAGTCTAGTATCCTATCATCAGATTAGTATGCAATCTTATTCTGTTGCTCTGATCTGATGTTTCTCACATTAATAAGGAGTGTTTTATCTTTAGAAAGGTGATAAATACACACTGCATAGTATTTTGTATATTTCTGGTTGTCTTTGATAACTGTTTCTTTGGTAATGAACCATGGCGTCATATATAATGCTTTATAAAAAAAAAAAAACATTCTGAAAGTGCGAAAATTTAAAGAAATTAGGTAGTTAGTTAAGCAATTTCTAAACTTTCCCTCAGAAGTCATAAAATTTCTGGCATTTTTCTTTTACAAGCAAAAATGCGAAGAACATTTTAAATCCTGAATAATACGCCTGATCATTCGAGGAGCTACAACTACTACGTCATTGGTGTCCTTGATTGATTTTCTCTAATTCGTATTTTCCCACTACCGCAAAGAAAACCTTACAGAAACTTTTTCTTCTGTTAGAGGGAACATCTAAGTAGTTTTGATATAGTATTTTGAGGTTCATCCCTAAGCATTTGAAACGATTTAAATAAAAATAATAAAATAATGTTAGAAGGGCATGTTTGAAAGTGAAGAATAAGAAAACTGTTCAGAGAAATACTTTCCTGTAAGGGAAGTTTCATAAAGTATTCATCAATGACTTCATTTATTTTAAGCAGAATTTTTATAAGTCTTTGTCTGAATAGTTTATTTCATTTTAAGCAGGAAACGTTATTATGGTATTTTAAATTTTTATTGAAATGACTTGCATGTTTAATTATGCTTTTCTTTTGTTTTTAATTATTTTTATTAAAATGTTATTTTTATTCAAAAATATTGTAAAGAAATGACACAGTCAAAGCCTTCTATATATATATATATATAACAAAAAATATGCCTTTACAATGTAGTAAAAATTTATTCCATTCAAAGGCAATACATTTGAATTTGAAGTTTAAGATTAGGCGGCCGAATTTTAAATGTTTTGTCTAAAATGTAAATGAAGTAATATACCATTTGGTTCTGTCATTTTCCTTACAGAATATTTTTAAACAAAAAAAGAAAACATGGTTTTAAATGAAGAATTATATACCATATTAGAACCCAATAGAATTTTTTTTTTTTTCCCCTGAGAAAGTAGGGAGTAAGCTTTTATAAACCCTGAGCGCGAAGCTACGATGTGATTTTTGATACCCATCCATCGTCAAATAGTTCAACACAACAATCAACTGATATTCGAAATGATAGTTAAAGTTGTTTATTAATATTAAATGAGAGTTAAAACTTTATTTGTTATCATGGAATATACAGGGTGTTTGTAAAGTCCCGGACCCATTTTGATGTTTAATAACTCATAAAATAATGAAGATATAAACAAACATATGACATTTATTTGATGGAATAACTTATATATTTTCCTTTTCAGGTTTGAGTATCTTTACTTTTGTAAATATCGTCTGCGCGTGTGGTTAATTTCAGATAATTTCATTTTTCCAGTCTAAATATCTGTACTTTTCTAAATATCTTCTGCTTATTAATTGCATTTTTCTCTCTTTTGTTTTTGGCAACTATTGCAATGTTATATTTACTTTTCATGTGTTTGTTCTAGTACTTTTTGTACTAGTACCAGTTTGTTCTAATACAACCGCAATAGCCTCTGTGGATGCCGACATGCTTGCCGGTACCTGGCGTGGAATTGAATATCGACTTGATATTCTCCGTGCGACGAAGGGGGCACACGTGGAAGTTCATTGACAAGGGTCATGAAACTTTTTGAGTCTATCTAACCATTTATGTTATTAATTTTAATCTATCTTTATTATTTTATGAGTTATTAAACATCAAAATGGGTCCGGGACTTTATAAACACCCTGCATTTTGTCTTCGTTGGAAAGACATTAGTTTTATATTTTTCTTATGAATATTGTAAATTATCACAATTCTTCTTTTTTCCTATCTACTATTTAATTTTCCGAGAAGAGTTTTTGCAACATGTCAAAATGTTAGTTTAGATGCGGAGGTTATCGCTGAGTCAGTTTGGCGATTTGACAATTAAACTTGGAGATTTAACAACTAAATTTGGCGCAGAGTTGAATTGAAACACTTAATTCCCGGGTCTCAAATTAGTTTAAAATTATTTTTTTTGTTTTTATTATTATTTTCATTATGAGCAACATAAATCCCATAAAGAAATGCATTAGGCGTCATTGTGTAAAAAAATAAACAAAAATTTATCATTCAGTATTCTTCAAAGAATTTATCATCTTAAAAAAAGCACACCAGTGTCTGAACGGAAAGCCGCTGAACACTGATAATTCAGCCTAAGTTTGATGCTAGGTGAACGGGTAGCTGCATGTGCGTTTCCTTGATTTTCCTCATGTATAACTTGGATACGAGCCAATTTTCCTTTAAATTCGTCCCTGAAGGTATCTCTTGTAGGCAGGTGGCTCTTGCGTACTTAGCGATAATCGAATAAAGGAAACCTTAAAAGCCCACCAGTGACCAAGCGCTAAAAACAACCTGAACACTGGTAGTTTGAGCTGGGTTCAAATCCCTTACTTTTCCTTTAAAAGCCATCCGCGAAAACATTCGTTTTAGGCAAATAACCCTCGAGTGCTTTACCTAGTCTAAATAATCTTAATTTAATTCCTAAAACTGATAAACGTGCTCTTTGTGTTATGGCATTAAACGAAAATAAAATATATAAGAAACACTTTTTATGTTACCCGTCTTTAGTTAAGTGTAATATATATATATATGTGTGTAAGTACAAAACAATTTCATAAAAACACATAATATAATCATGCGCAATGTTTTCTTGCATGAAGCTGCTGAAAAATTGGTTCTAAATTTCTTGCTTATATATAGTATATATTATAGCTATTATAATATTCTCGGTGATGTGTGACTAAAGATAAAATCATAGGACTGCTAATAGCGCTGGAGTTTAAAACAAAATTGTCAAAGAGAAAGTTAATTGGAATGTAATCATTCTTATTACATATCATTTCTATGGTATCACTTCCGTTATTTCTTGAAATTTTGTAATGTCCTTACATAAATTCATTCCCATGATTTTAATCATATATGACCAAGAAAAAATTACGGTAACAGTTTTTAACTGTGGCGCGGAA